GTAGGCCTCCCCCAAAGCACGATCTCCCGTTTTTGCCATCCAGTCGTTACTAGCCACCTTTTTTAAGTCGTCAGTCCATCTGGCCGGAGGGCGGCAACGCTACGCTTACCGAGAACCCGCTTACTCCACCGTTCATCGCTTATACGAAAAATTTGACCAGCCCACTGCCACTGCAGCTTGCTACACTTATGTCCGTCACTTTGGTCATTTTCGGATAGCCTCATTCCGGATTTTATTCAGAGATACCGAGCATAGACCTCTCCATACCTCTTTGAGTGACATCTAGCCTGTGGGCCAGTTTTACTGGCAAGTTCCACATCTCGGCTCCATAAGTCATGACTGGTAGGACGCATTGACCAAACACCTTGGTCTTGAGGCATTGTGGCAAAGATGATTCGAGGATGTGACGCAGCTTCCCAAATGCTACCCAGCCAAGCTGCACTCTTCTGGTGATTTCAGCTTTAAAGTTGTCTCTACCCATCTGCAAAGTTTGCCCAAGGTACACATATTTCTGAACAACTTCAAGGGCTACACCTTCGACGGAGACCGGCTCGGGGATAATGAGTGATTATGATTGAACATGACCTTCGTCTTATCCAAGTTCATCCCCAGTCCAACATGTCTCAAGGCAGAGTTAAGACTAGATAGCATTTTTTGCAGGTCCTGCAGCGATTCGGCCATTATGACTATGTCGTTGGCAAAGCGGAGATGCTTGAGATTTTTGCTGTTGACGTTGATGCCCAGTCTATCCCACCGTAGAGTCTTAAAGACATTCTCCAGTGCGTTCGTGAAGAGTTTCGGGGATATAACGTCACCCTGTCTTACAACACGGAGCAGTTGGATGGACCTTGTATTGTGGTTTTTTACTTGAACGGACATCGTCACCATTTGATAGAGGCTTCTAAGCACCTCAACATACCACCAGTCGACTTGGCACCACTGCAAAGACTCCAATACAGCTCAGGTTTCGTAGCCCACAAAAACCACTCAGTGGTTGGTTTGGTTGTACTCTTTTGGCATCGGAATAACCTGCCTTACAGTATGAACTTGTTTTGATGGCTGAAAGGCATCAAATCTTGATGCCAGACGATTGGTGACGACTCTCCAGAACAGTTTGTTATCTCAGAGGCCACTCCGTCTTCCCCGGGAGCCTTCCCATTCTTAATCTGTCTGAGAGCCGCCCTGATTTCGTCTAGGTATATCTACGTCCGGAAGATCTTCTGTAAAGTGGCGGTAGAGAGGAGCTCTAGGGTTTGGGGTCGCGTCAGGTGGAGGCTTTTGCGCATGCGAGGCAGACTACAGATCTCCATAGAAGTCCTCAATTTCAGAGAGAATAATCTGGAACCGATATGACAGTTACCTACACCATTCGAGGTAGTTTAGCTTTGCCAGATGACTCCTTCCCAGTGTCTTGGTAAAAACTTTCGACCCTCGGTTCTTGTCAATCGCCTCCTTTACGAGTCGAGTGTTATAGCTTCGGAGGTCGCGTCTTACCATACTACGGATCTTTTTGTAAAGGGATCTGGCAATGCATCATCTGGCGTATCCAGACTAATATGCATCAGTACCAGACCAGGGCCTCGCTTGAAAGTTTGGACTTCTAATCTGTTCGCCTTTTACGAAAGTGCTTCGTCACCACTTCGCGAACAACCCCGACTATGCCCTCTAGGTCCTCGTCAACGTTTATCGGGGTCTCCAGGGCAGCGAATTGATTTTTCAGTTCAAGTTAGAACTCCTCATGTCCGGCTTGGGGCAGCTTAGGGCGGAGAACTGGCTTCACCATGCGGTTTCTTTATAGCTTGAAGTTGATATTTAGGGTGCCTCTTACTAGTCGTTGATCGCTACCGGTATTGAGTCTACTGACGATCACTGAGACATCCTTAAATATATGCCGTTTATCCGACATGATGAAGTTGATTTTGTTCGTCGTCCTGCCGTCAGGGCTCTTCCAGGTCCACTTCCGTTTGAGCTTTTTCTGATAAAAGGTGTTCATACAGATCAGCCCCTGCCTGCTAAGGAAGTTAACTAGCATTTGGCCCCTCTGGTTTCTGCTCACGTAGCCATGTCGTCCCAAGCTTGATTCGCCGTGTTCCTGTCCCACTATAGCGTTAAAGTCCCCCATGACGACAGTGAAATGGGTCTTAGTGGTTTGGTGTATGGCCTTCGACACGTCATCGTATAGGACCTCCACCTCTTCATCTGAGCTGCTCGAAGTCAGCGCATATACCTGTACGACCTTGAGAGAGTACCTCTCGGTCAACTTCAGTACGAGGTACGTTACCCTGTTCGAGACGCTGCAGATTTCTTTCACGTTGTCACAGAGAGCTTTACTAACGAGAACCCCTACGCCACCCTGAGACTGCGCGGTCCCTTCCCTGGAGTAGAATAAGTGACCTGATTCTAGGGTTATCGTGTCCTCCCCGTCTCTTTGGACTTCTGACAACCCAAGAACATGCCTCCGTATTTTGTCTAATTCTACTTCAAGGATTTGGAGGCTGTCATCCGGCCGCAGACTGCGTTCATTGGTTGTCGTCAGGGTCAGTTTATGGCACCCGTCGTCCATAGCCCGGGGATTCTTCGCACCCCCTGCCCTACCATTACCCGGGCCGCTACCGTAGCTCGGGGTAGTAGGGCGGCCGGGAACTAGGGGCCGTTTCTTTCTCGACCTATTCATGGGGGGTTTGCCCAAAGTCACCACGCTGGGCACGCGGGTTAGTGACCGCAGTGTGTATTTGTGGACTATATTGTCAACACGGGAGGCGCTGCTGCCTACCCCCCGGAAGCCCTTTATCGCCTCTTACTATAGCCACGGGCAGATTTGGGGTGGTGAAATTCTATTCTGCCGATACCACACGGCAAAGATCGTAATGCGAAACTCAGATCCGTCACCCAAATAGTGGACATTTTATCAGATCCGTCACATAAAATAGTAGGCTTCAATTTTCTTTATGAATATCTATTTAAATACAAAACTTATTTGTAAATTTTCCTTATAACACGATAATGTATGCACATGCTTATGAAAATCTTGTCAATACTTGTAAACAAAGCCACATGAATCATTTTTGTTAGATCCATCATACAACCCAATTCCGTTCTCTAGATTCCGTCACAGCAAATAGTGGCCTTGTTATAACTTCGCATTTACTCGATAAAAAAGTGGGCCTCTTACATCATTTTATTTACATTCCTACAAAGAATGACCCCATGCCTTCAAAATAACAATATAATCAATTTGAAAAATGATGACGGAATTGTCAGGAGAACGCGTCCCGAGGAGAATAAGCCAGTTAAAGCAGTGGACTACCAGCGAACGAGCACCAAAGAAGGCAAAAACTGTAAATTCGGCTGATAAAGTGATGGCAACAGTATTTTGGGACAGTCAAGGGAAATGGCTTGCGGGGCAAAGATTTTTGTCTAATGAAGAGGTAATAGCTGCAACCGAGGCCTATTTTGCAGGCTTTGACAAAAAGTATTTTTTGGATGGGTTGAAGAGGTTAGAGCATCGCTGGAAGAAAATTGTAGAGTTAAGAGGAGAGTAAGTATGTAGAAAAATAAAAGTATTTTTATATAAAATAATTTTTTTTCTTTTCAAAGTCATGGACTTATCAAACCGCCCTCGTACTTAGTTTTAAGACCAATGTGCCCAAAATCCGGATATCCGCCGATTAATACTACATTTTGAAATCCGAATTGGTTTAACCAGATCCGGATTTTTCGGTCATCTTACGTTTGGACCGTCCAACGATCAAATGAACCCTGGTGTCAGATTTTTTCAACCGTCTACTACAAGTAGCAGGACTCTGACTTCGTCGTCTAAATGATCATAGACAGAAACCGGGAGCGTCTAGACAAAACGCAGAAAAGCGTTGCGTTCGATCAAATTTTTAAGCCCTTTACTGTGGTTACCGTGAGTGACCCAAAGAAATGCTCTAGAGCTAATACTATTTTTTTTCTATCTTCGATTGATTTTTTTTAATAAAAAAAATCATAAGAACAGCAAAAATAAAAAAGCTGTTGCAATTTTTATGTAGGTACCATTTACTAATATTTTCCTTTAGTTTTTTGTAGTACCAGATTCCTCATTTCGGTGATTCGCAAAATGCACGATTTTTGGATGTCTCGTTGAATTTCTCGCTACTCCGTAATACGACAAACTTGTATATTTTTATTTAAATAGGTAGAAAGGTCCTGTAATCCTCCACGAAGTTTTAAATCTTTGTAGTAAATACTTTAGCCGCAATATTTTTTCAAAACTCTGTTCTCTAATTTGTGTTCGCTGTCCCGCACCCAGAATTTTTCCTTTGTCTTAAATTATTTCTTTCAAAAACAATGTTTATAGATTAGAGCTTTTAAACATTGGAAGCCTTTTTATTGGGCTTAAGGATTATAAATATTATAAACGTGTACAACCTTTATTTACTTAGTTACATAATTTAATGTATCTGTCCCGGCCTGATACATAATTTGCGTCACGCGTTACAAAATGTTACCTTTATCACAAGTGGAAAGATCTATGCCCAATATTGTGGCATGAGGAGCTAACGTTAGCTGAGCTGCAGCAGTCCACGACAGCAGTGGTGTGTCATGTTCTTGGATGAAGAATTATGGACGTGAATACCTAATTTGCGTCCGTGTGGTCACAGTTTTCTCTAATTTGCGTTCGCTTGTTTCATTTTGTGAATAAATATGTATCTTCTCAATTTATGATCATGTACGCCTATACGAAAGGTTCAATTTCCGTCAAAGGTTATGAACAAAAACTTAAACGTATCCGTTTAAAAAAATAAAATATGCGTTTTCCCTAATTTGTATCACATAATTTGCGATTAGATCGTGCTTGTTAATATCAGTATCACATTTAAGTTTGTTGTAAGAATATTGCAAAATTGATCAGGGTAATCAGTTGATCATCTACTGGGGCAGTTCAGCTGCCTATTTTTTGTTCTAATAGCCTATTGAGATTTCACAAGTGAAAATAAGAAATAGAAAAAATGTCATACATCAACCGGGAATCGAACCCGGGCCGCGTGGGTAAACTCGGGTAAACGCCCCACCGCTCTGCCACTGAGCTATCGATGTACCTACCGATGGATGCCAAATTCTCTATCTCTTGATGGTCGTCTTGAAGCGACGATCCAGCGACATCTATAGTAAGTATTTAGAACTTACTACATGGTTAGTCCACATTATAAGTGGAATTCAAACCATATGATGAAGCTTGCTTAATCCATCTATTGGGATTTTAATGCACTCAAAACCTAAAAAAAAGCTAAAACCAATTTGGCTTTACGGCATACAACTATGGGGCTCAGCCTGTAAATCAAGTATCAACAAAATACAAACCGCACAAAACGTGATTTTGAAAGCCATATCAAATGCACCTTGGTTTATAAAGAACTCAGAAGTTCATATACAATTCTAGGTGTAGGCACAGTACAGGAAGAAATCAATACCTACGCCGCAAAATATAACACCAGGCTACAAAAGCATCCAAACCAGTTGGCTGTCCAACTTACAATGCCTGACTATATCAGACGTCTCAAGAGACGTGACATCATGGACCTCAGTAGTGACAAGTGAACTACTGCTCCACAAAGAGGAAACCTCACTGGAGGACTGACTCTGCACGCCATCATCATGCAAATCACCTGCTTATAGTCAACGACTGATTGCAGATCAAAAGAGAACACAAAAAAAAAACTGTATAGTAGTCGGTTTTTTGTTTATTACTGTTAAAAAACCTGAATATAAAAACATGCCGTATGATGCCGACTTAGAATAGCATCACTCCAATTCTACCCATGGATGTGCCATGGATGTCGACGAAAAAGCGACTAAGGAATGATCATCGAGGAAACGGGCAGCAGCGTTCCTTGTGTGCAACATCTTGAACTACGCTCGCCAATCCGCCTGCCAAGCGTGGTGATGGTGAATATGGCAATAAGTACCCACCCGATAGGGGGAGGCCCACGTCCAGTGGTGGACTGTTGTGGCTGTTACGGTAATATTCAGGTTTGTTTATCACGTACATTTCCTGCAACTTTAATCATAATAAAATTTGTTTATCAATTTTTCAATTATGTACATATATAAGTAAGTACTAGGTACCTAATTCTCAACCAGTTTGTCGCAGGCTTTTTCTGTTCTTTTCAATCGCAAGTACAAAAAAGGTACATTTAAAAAATGAAATATGCTTGCTTTGTATATTTGCTACTTGTGATGTGCGAATGTCGTCAGATAATTGTTCTTGTACAACCGATTCACTCCCGAGGTATTCAAGATGCTTCTATTTCAACTGATTCATCATTTGGCGGGATCATGAAATTTGCCGAAAAATACCATTTCAAAGATGAAAAACAAACAAGAAGACAGGGAGAACTTATCGGCATGATAGACAAGAATATGTTGGAAGCGACGGAGTCAATGATAGAATCGTATAGCAATGAAGTAAAACAGCTGTTAAAAAACGTAAAATCTAAGAATGGAAAGGAAGGTATGAACACGATCGAGCAAGTATTAGAAATGAAGCTTTTGAGATTAGAAGGTGGGTTCCTTTCTACAATACAAGCGTGTAGGTACACTTACAAATTAAATACAAACACTTTAAAACACTTGCCGTTTTAGGTAGGGTGAGTTGTGGAACAGTTAACCACCTAAATTTCAAATCATCATAGCTCATTCATAAATGTTCACCCGAAACGCGTTATTACCTGCAGGGGTAGTGAACTAGGTCATTGGCTAGACATTTGCATTTAAAAACTATTGAAATTTTATAAGGATTTTTGTGTAAATAAGTTAAAAAAAATATGAGCTTTGGTTAATTGTGTCCACACTATGGTACACTATTTAACCGGCTACACATTTAACCAATGAATGTTTTGTGTGGAAATAAATGGATTTGTATGAGTATTCGTAACCATTCAATATAAGGTCCTTTTAAATTCACTTCAAATATTTTCAGGGCATGCGTAAAAACATCTAAGGCATTTTAAAACAAAACTACACGCTAGATTTTTTTTCATTTTCAAACAATTTTTTTAATTAATTATGTGAACATCCTTTGACTGACCCGACTGACGTTCCGCCACGTAGACAGGATTCACTTACCTACGCGGCACGCACACTTACAACCAACCACTTACAGCACCTTTTTTTGGCGCGTAATTTAAATTCATCGAAGTGTGTGTTTCTAGGACAAACAGGGTGCACTTTTTCGTTTTTTTTTAATTAAATGCACTTTTTCTCGAAAGAAATCTAGCGTGTAGATTTCTTTAAAAATTTGCCTAGTACATGCTTATATTTGTGTTCAAAGAAACGTGTTGCGCCGACCCCAAGTAATTGGGATAAGGGCAGGAAGATGATGATGATGACATGTTTATATTTTATTTGATCTGCCCCTAAAATATTTGCAGTGAATTTAATAGGACCTTATATAAATATTTATTTTATTAATATTAATAACAGAGGTGTTACAAAATTACAGATTAATTGTTACAAAATAAATTATGCTCGCGCCCATTTTTCATTGGTTCCTCTGTTCTGTATGTGCTAGTTTTTGTCTGGGTGACGATTTATGCCAAGCCAAAAGTAAACTAAAAAAACGCAGTACACATTTAACCACGCACTCGTACACATTTAACCATGGTTAACTGTTAGACATATCTTTTTGGTTAAATGTAGGACAGGGGGGGCCCTCCCGAAAACATTATGACATCATAATTTTTAAATTACTAGCAATACAAACGTCTAAAATATATCAAATGATGCACAATAATAATAGTTATAGGGCAAATGAAAAACGGTTGAAGTACTACTGAAAATAAAGTAGTGCAAAGAAAAACTTCTCATTTTTACTTTCTACATCGATATTCAAATATTTCCCTCCCACACAAAAACTAGTCGCGCCTCGCGCGAACTCACTGCCGACAGGGTAGCGGGGGGAGTAACCGTTGCGTTGCGCCATCAAATTCTCGATAATGCACTAAACTACAGCGTCGCGTTTTGAAAATATAAGCCTGACTAATTGTGTCCGAGTGGCTAACTGTTCCACAACTGACCCTACTTGTTAGTATGACTGCCCGCCACGCAGAAGGTTCCGGGTTCAATTCCCGGTGCGGTGGGGTCACTCACAAAGTTGATATTTGTCACTTTGTGAATTTGTTCCCAGTCTGGTTTAGGCAATGATATTATATGTGGGATCTAGGTTGTAGATACGCCACCTGAGCAAAAATTTGTTACTTCAAATTGGTTCTCAAGAAGACCAATGAATAAGTCAGGCTATGAGCTATTACATGACACGTATGCCAATTTCAAGTAACAATTTTTCTGTCCAAGCTGTATGGAGGTACCGTGTCTATAATAAAATGACTTTGGGTTCAGGACATTGCAGGCTGAACCACCTGATTGTCGGAAAAGTAAGATGGTTCCGTGCTTCAGATTGGCACGCGCCGTCGGTCCCGGTTGCTGTCTATGATAGCACAGTATAAATTAATAGTACTATGATGGCGGTCGTTACACAACCATGCCAGAGGCCTGCTACTTGCAGTAGGCGGTTGAAAAACTCTGACACTAGGGTACATCGGGTCCTTGAACGACTCGGTGTCCCACACGAAACTCACAAATAATCGGTGTCTTCACAAATAATCCTAAAAGTTTTTGTTTTACGCTCATTAATGTTTTTTAGCATATAATTTACATAAATGTGTAAATTGTAAACAACTATGACATATTTGTAAAAAATAATTGTCACGTATGACAGGCGACTATATAATTATGTAAGTTTTGTTGAACAGAGTTTACAGGTGCGACAATTTACAGTTACTAGACGGTATCTTTTTTACATATTTGTAGGTTTTTTGAACGGCATATGTACCTACGACAATTTGACAATTATATCACTTTTCGACATATTTGAAGAATTGTAAGTTTCTTTGAATAGGGCCCAGCTGAAGCTCCTGTTCCTTTTAATTTAGGGACTAAAAATCTTTAGCCTCTCCTTCGTAAAATGATCAACGGGTTATAGGTATCAGCAAAAGGAAACTTTGTGATCATCATTTGAAGTAAATTTGCCTTTTTTTGCCCCTACAGTTGCCATCATATATGGTGAAGGAGGACAGTCAGCTATGAGCATGGCGACTGAACTAAATGAACTGATCACCCTCATCAAGGCTGAACCATATTTGGATGAATAAAAATTACAATAATGATGTGATGTTATGATTAATTCTCTCAAATAGATGAAAATCATTTTATATTTTATTGTTCCCAATAAATTGTTTTTATTTATTTATTTATACATCAATATAACAAAATCGTAACTGGTCAGGGTACAGGAACCATTTATAGATTTCAGAAAACACTTCTATTCGGCGTTTTAGAAAACTTAAAACGATATCTGTGGAAAAATATTTTACCCTTAAAAACCAAGCGACAGCGACAACAACGCGCGTCGTTGTCGCTGTCAAATGACTGGTTTGTATGGGTTTGTATGGGGAACCAGAAAGACCGAGCGTCGCACACTAGTTCCATTTAAAAAAAAAGTGGACATTAAGGAATTTCAGATCGAAGGTCAACGGATGTGGCTGATTTTTTTTTTGTGGACAGCTGATGCAATTACAAGTATCTTCTTTTACATATGTTGTTTTTTTCAAATAGGTATGTAAATTATTGTAAATTATTATTTGTATGGAGGAAATCATAATTTTGACTATTTCTTCCAAGATTCACATGTATTCAAAATAAAACTTAACACAGCTTATAGAGGGGCTAATTGCTCACAACTTTGTCATAGACACTCAACTGCGCATTTTTGCGCGTTTTGAGTTACAGGCACTTTAAATATTTTGTCACCGGATGAGCATAATATTTTTTTTTGTAGATAGCTGATACAATTTCAAGTCACTTTTATACATGACGTTTTTTTTCAAATATGCCTTATCTACAGTGATAAAAAATATATTTTTTTTGTATGGAGGAAATCACAATTTTGACTTTTTCTTTCAAGATTCACACGTATTCAAAATAAAACTTAGCGCAACTTATAGAGGGGCTAATTGCTCACAACTTTGTCATAGACACTT